TATCGGATTCATATCGGTATCGGCAGATATCCAGATTTATGGTATCGGTATTGGACATAAAAAAGTGGTATCGTGCATCTCTAGTTATTACACACACACACACAAGACAGAAGCAATAAATATTTCTCTTTAAAGTGGAACTTTTTAGTTGGTTAAAAACACAGGGCCCGTGAACCACCAGAAGTAAGCACATCTAAACTAACTTGTGCTTCTTGTAGACTCCATGTCTAAAGACTAATCTAATCTGAGGCATTTCAAATGTAGAAGGTTTACTGCTGGGAACAAACAGGACAGATATCAAACAAACCGTGACAGCCTGCATCGACTCACTCAGTGTAGATATTACTTGTGTCAAATACCCAGAGGAGCCCAGCTGGCTCCTCGCTCCACACGGCCAGGTGTGGTCTCACCTGCTTTGGTCTTAAAGGTGACAGATTTGCTGCTGACACTGTTGAACAGATGGGAGTAAACTCTCAGGTGATACACGACGCCTGGGACGAGATCCACCACATTAATGGGGGGCTGTTGACTCTTTACATCTTTCTTCGTCTTGTTACCTTGGAAACACAATAAAGAGGCCAATCACACTCCAGGGGTGTGGCCTTCGCTCCACTCTGAAGCCGGGCACACAACAGTCTGCAGCACCACGATGCTTCACAGGGAGCCTGTTGTCTGATAGCAGGGCTGGTGCTGAACTGAGGCTGATAGCAATGCTGCACCACAGTGGCCACAAAGATTCATCTCTTTAAATGAGTAAAACATGTGGATTAAACAGTACAGTGATGTGTGCCTGGCCACAATGCTTCAGACAATATGTTCTGATTAATTTGACTGTTTTATGGCCTCGTGACTACTTTTTTCTTCAAGGTCAAGTTTCCTGCAGAATCCTGATCATTGCTAGTCGTGGAGTGAGGCATGAGGACCACTGTCTGTCAAGCAAAACCACTTCTGGAATACAATCAGCTAAAAAGCATGTTTTAAAACATGTTCAGCACGTCTTCTGTCAGTACAGAGCGTTGGTTACCATCAATAGATTTACTCTGCATTCGTTTATGTTCACAAACTAGCAACAAACCCAATAACTCTGTGGGACATAAGGAGACTTTTGTCTGCATCGTTCTTTCACAGGAAAATATCAAGATTATCAGGTAAGTTTATACAGCTGCGATATTACATTTGTTTCGGTTTCTGATACCCGCGATCTCTCTTGAAGACATTTTTAATGTCAGCAACACTTTTTACCTGGATAAGAGTCACTTTGCAGCAGCTACTTTATAATGGCAATGTTCTTTTTGGCTGTAAAGGACTTTATTCTTTCATAAAAGTTTCATTTCCA